CGGAGTTAGGGCGGGAAGGGGCGGGGTTGGGGCGGGGCTAGGGGAGGGGAAATGGGCGGGTGCAGGGCCCGTGGAGGGTCCTCTTTTTTTTATTTTTGAGATATGGTAACCCTAGCTGCAGAGGCTTCTCTGCTCAGTCTGGGGTCCATGCAGAAGTATACAATGGGGTAGGAGGATGCCTGTCATTCCCACTCTGACCTTGCAGAATTTATCTGGAGAAGGTAATTCAGCCCCAGCCTGGCTGTGTTACTGTTCTGTGGAGCTCCACATTCTGAAATGAATTTTCAGAATTACAAGATGCAAATTTTCTGAAATACATTTTTTTTTTTAGTTTCAAATATTTTTTTCTGGGGGAATGTCTGTCGAAATGACACCTTTTTTTCTAAATTCTTTGGTTTCAACAAAAATTCTGTCAAAAAGAGTTTTGATGAAAAATTTCCTTCCAGCTTTCTTCTAGTAGCTAACGAGCTCTCAGAAAGCTGTGTGGTTTCAAAGGTGGCTGTGTCCCTTTAACATACGGGGATGTTTATTTAGTATGGAAAGTCATTTGGAGCTATGCCCATGGACACCAGCTGAGGACCTGGTCCTTGCTCACTAGAGGTCTTATCTTGTGCCATTGGGGTCAATGGAAGTTTTGCCTGCAACATCAAGTATCAGGCCTTGTGGGAAAAATCCTTCATTTTTTTACTTAGTCTAAATCCCATTGAAGTGGGGCCCCACAAATTTAATACAATGGCTGATTTTGGACAGAGGGATATGAAGATTAATGGAATGTGCTTTGTAGACTACAGCTGTCCAAATGCATGACTATTAGAGCAGAATAACAACAGCTAATCCTCAAAAAGAGAGCAGAGGCAAATTCATCCCTGGTGCAACTCCATTGACTTCATTTGACTTTCTTGCATTTGTTCCCATGCTTCTGGAATGAAAGCTAAAACTATTATGTCAAACCTCAGGGAAAGCCACGTGCAAAAAACATTAAGTATAGTGTTCTTTTCTAAGAGACAGACTAGTTTATGTAGTTGGTAGAGTGGTAACTGAAGTTTGTTTAAAAACTTTAGGGGATGTTTTCAGGGAGTATGGCATTGCTGAATTTTCCTGCTCAGACATGCTATGGAAAAAACAATTCTAGAAAAGGGTGGCGGCGAGTGGGGGAATAATTATTTTAAAAACCCCAACAAATTATAGGCCTGTTGAATTCACTCTGTGTCAGCATATTATATAGTATGAACAGGGACTAGGGCTGATTTAATGCAGTACATTGAACTGTTCAGACCAAACCTGCCCAAAAGCAGCAGGTTCATATTTTTGTGTCTATTCAGGAAGCGGAGCTATTGGAGTATGGATTACAAAGATACAACCCTAAGAAGCTAACTGGGAGCAGTGTTTGCAAAATCAAAAAATACCCATTTCTCCCTCCCCCAGCACCTGTTTTTCACTGGAAGTATTCATTTTGTCATTATTCAGATTTGAGAGCTATGGATAATGCTTTTCTTTGAATAGATTTGTCTCTTTGTTTTCTTCTTTCAGGCACATAAGGAAGGAAAGATTCAAAAACTACTTGAAACAAAGGGACATGATCACGTGCAGGATTCCTATGACTATGATCTCATTGTCATTGGAGGGGGTTCTGGAGGTCTGGCTGCTTCCAAGGTATGAGTGACAAAACGCAAATTTATGAGCCATTGATAATTGAGCAGAATACATCCTGAACATTTCAGGTCTGAATATCTCTAATATTGTAGAGACATCAAATTAATTCTTGTTCTTTTGTGGATCTTCCGGTGCTAGTCCCAGGGGCATGGTATCCTCATTTAAAGAGACAGTTGTTCTGAAGATGAAAAGTATGAAAATGTAACAAAGTGAATATAAAATAAAACTTGACCTTTTTTCCTCTTCAAGAGCTGTTGTTAGAAAACTCTGGGAAAATATCTCGAGAGGTTTTCTTAGCATTTGGATTAAATTGCTGAGAGTATTTTAAAAGCTATTCTGAAATTATTATAAAAAAGTTTTTATTTTTGTCTGAGATTAATATCTACCTGGGAATCTTTCTCTCTCTGTGTGTGTGTGTACATAGACGTTCGTGTGCGCACTACTTTTTTTTTTCATTTTTGGATCAGTCATTTTATTTTTAATGGAAGAAGTTGTATAACTTCATAGTTTCACAGAACGAAATCCTGGCCTCACTGAAGTCAGTGGGAGTTTTGCTTAACTAGCTGCGAGTCCCTCATATGATGGAATATAATTAATAACGCATGAGCCAGTTGTGGTCATTCAAGATATCAGGTTTACTAGTTTGAAAAACAAATGCCACTCTTGACATCTACAGATAATGGGCTAAAGTCTGTATTCATGTATACCAGCACAACCACACAGAAGTGCAGAGGATGTGCAGAGATGTAACTGAGGGCAGTATTTGGTGCCGGGAGCCTTTATGCTGCTATAGGACATATCAGATAAATGCAGTAGAAACACATTTTTAAAGGGAGAACCAGATAAATAATGTTGTTAGAAGGATTTTAAAACAAATGGAATGTTGAGAAATTATTTAAGCAATGTGACTGGCAGAAGTGGAGAGCATCAGTTCTTTAGCAGTGCCCTCAACTTACCAAATGAAACTGCATCACTTGTAGAAATCTATATGCCTGTTTTCCCCCCACCCTCTTTTCCATCTTGAGCATGTAGATTAATCCTGAAGGTTAATGATCACCTGGCCATGCCTTTGCAACTCAATTGTTATTACATAATTAAAAATGACATTGATTTTCAGCAGTGTATGATGCTATCATGTAGTATGGATATAAGTTCTAATATTTAGATATTTGTTTTGTTTAATTTGTTCTCCAGGAGGCTGCCAAGTATGGCAAGAAAGTGCTGGTGCTGGACTACGTTACTCCTACTCCTCAGGGAACTAGATGGGGTAAATTTCTGCTGAATACAGTCATGTTGTTATAAAGGGACATTTCTTATTAAAAAACTCAAATTCTATTTTAGGACAGAGCACATTCATACATAAAACATATTCTGTTCCTCTCTTAGGTCTTGGAGGAACGTGTGTAAATGTGGGTTGTATACCTAAAAAACTGATGCACCAGGCAGCTTTGCTAGGACAAGCCTTACAAGATTCACGCAAGTTTGGATGGCAGTTTGAGGAGAAAGGTATAGAAATTTTTAAAAATTTCTATCTTTTAATTTTCATGTACCTCATTCAGAACTCTATCCTGCAAGGTGCTGAGCACTCCAGAACCTCTGCTGCAAAGCAATTCAGATTGTGCTAGCTTTAAGAACATGAGTGGTACCATTGAGCAGGGCCGGCTCCAGGCACCAGCCGAGCAAGCTCGTGCTTGGGGCGGCAGATTGTACGAGGCGGCATTCCGCCCAATCCTAGGGCGGCACGGCCGCTTTTTGTTGTTGTTGATGTTCCGCTCCGGCCACCCTGTAGGGGGCAATGGCGCGGAGGAGGGAAGCACCCTGTAGCAAGCCCGGCAGGGCAGCTCGCGTCCTTCCCTCCCAGCCGAACGTAGTGGCTGGGAACCCTCCCGGCAGGCAGCACGGCGGTCGGGGCCACGTGGCAGCGCCCCGCTGAAGCCCTGGCCGCCCCCCTTCTCTCTCTCCCCTCCCCCCCGACTCCCTGCGCTGCACACAGGGGAGCGGGAGGGAGTCCCCCTGCACCCTGGCTCCGGCCACGCCACAGGTTTTGTTGTTTTTTTTTTGCTTTGCCGCCTCTCTTTTTTTTTTTGCTTGGGGCGGCAAAAAAGCCAGAGCTGGCCCTGCCATTGAGTTCAGTGGGATGACACACATGCTTAAATACATTGCAGGATCAGGACCGGAGTGCTCAGCATCAGGTCCTCAGTGGTGTAGTGTGAATTTTTATAACCCCTTGATTCCTTCCAACTTTAATATAATGAACCCTACATGTCCATATATGTGGGTCTGGATTTGATGCAGGCATGCTCCCGTAAGTGGGAATATGCCGAGGCAATTCTCAAAGAGACGTAACCTGTTCATGTTTTAACAGACACCTGCTCACAACAGTTGTCAGCAGAATAATATTGATACTGAGATAAAGCTACAAGCTTCAAGGGTTAAAAAAAATAGGAAATGACAAGATGTTGAATGGCTTGGTCGGAGCCCACTGATAGCAAAATGCTTGCCTGCCACTGTTGTTGCAGCCATGTGGTAAGCACTGTAGGTCAGACTTACCGCTACCTTATTCCAAGTTTTTGCTGGTGTAACTCATTAGATTTCAGGGGGTACACCAGGGTGAAACAGGAGTAACACAGTGGTGATTTGGGTCCTGTGTGACTACTGTTACGTGAGAGTCCTGTTGGAAGGCTGGGGAAAATGAGGGATAGACAGGTTAAAAGCTGGACATCTTTTTGTTTCTTCAGCAGTCAAACACAGCTGGGAGACGATGACAGAAGCTGTTCAGAATTACATTGGCTCTCTCAACTGGGGCTACAGGGTGTCTTTGAGAGAGAAGAAGGTCACATATGAGAATGCTTTTGGAGAATTTGTTGGGCCGCACACAATTAAGGTACCGAATAGCAATGTGTCCTCTAGCCCTTCTTTACTATTTTTGGACAAAGATGCTTTTCTGACACACAACAATCTTCTTGTTGGTAAGAGTGTGAAATACAAACTGTCTTGTTGCTTTGCATATAGGCAACAAATAACAAAGGAAAAGAGAAATTTTACACAGCAGAGAAATTTCTGATTGCCACTGGTGAAAGGCCGCGCTACCTGGGTGTCCCTGGAGACAAGGAATACTGCATTAGCAGGTAAAAATGGGCAAGAATGCAGAATAATCTACTATGCCTATTTTAAAATGGTCTCCTATGGTATGAGTGCTGCAGGTTGTAAGAGAGTAGGGGTGCTGAGCATGGTGCGTCATTACTCATGGCCCTGTAAAGTAACACAAGTGGAGGAGAATGGCCATGGCAGAATAATGGACCAGCAAGAACACCAGACCTAGCGTACATCACGAGGCTGTGAGCACTTAGCTATGAGACATGTTTCATGTGACCCTTTGGTAGTACTGCTCCTGGCTGACAGCAGCAGTAATTGAGGATGCCATAAATGAGAATGCCAGAATGCCCATAATTTGCATTAATTCATCAGGCCTATCTCCATCCCCATCGCACTCATTTCCTCCCTATTCGCCTGCGCCCGGTTCAGTGCAGCTGTAGTGGTTTGTTCAAGTCGAGGAGCACTGTACACTTAGAGGAAGCCTCTCTGCACGAGTGCTGAGGAAATCCTGAGTCTGAAAGCGTTTCCACTTCTACAAGTCAGCAGTCTGTATAAATACATGCAGCGAGCTGAAGTACTGTTGACCCAAGAAATACTAGAGTTTTTGTTGCGAAACCACATGAAATGTGCCTGTCTTCTTGTCTTGTTACAACCTTGAAACTCAATCCAGGTTTCCAAAGAAGTTCATAAAATTTCATGAATTTTAGGGGTAAACGCGAACCGATTTATGACTCTGTGAAAGCCATACAAAACTTGTGGCTTTGCAAGGTTTTAACACACATCCAGGTGAAATGCAGTGGTTTCAACTGAGTTTAGCTTTTAGGTTCTTTGGCACATGGAACCAAAGACAAAAATTATGGGCATGCAAACCTATGTGAGTCAAAACAAATAAAAGGCTTGAATAAACTCCTATGAATGGAAACAGCCAAATTTCACACTTCTCTACTAACCGGAAGTGGTGAGAGTGGACATCTTTTTTATATATATTACATACAAAAAACTGTTGAAAGAACATTTGGCTCTGGGTGGTGGGGCTCGGGCTTTGGCCACAGGCTTCAGCAAGTCTAATGCCACCCCGGCGACCCCATTAAAACGGGGTCACGACCCACTTTGGGGTCCCGATCCATAGGTTGAGAACCGCTGCTCTAAAGCATGGTGGAGCTAAAGCCTCTCCACAAAACAGTTGAAAGAAGTTATTTTGCCCATATTAAAAAATTACGTTTTCCTACTTTCTTTCTTGGAAACAGTTGAACTGTATTTGCTGAAACATTTTTAAAAAAATCCAACCTGAAGCAGACACTCATGTTGGAAAACTTCAGCCCAAACAGTTAAAGTTTAGCAAACTTATATATAACTGTAAATAGGGCTTTTAACAGGAAGCAGCAGGAAACCTTAATTACGTGTGGACCTATTAACCCCACCTATAGTTATGGTTTGTGCACATTTGTTATATTGTTTTATTTGCATATTGGTTGTATTTTTAATATTCTGTACAACACTGATTAAAATAAAATCTTCAAAAAAGTCCAGATGGTACATTTATCTACATACTGAACCTTCTTCCTTGTGAACAGTTAACTCATTGCAACACCATTTGCAATGAGATTCAAATTTAAGAAAAGCAGACACTAAGATCTGCGCAGCTGCTTATACTTTATTGTAAACAATCCATAATTTTTTTTTGTAATTTGGACAAACTGAGAGGCAAACTAGAGTATTCCACATTCATTTTTGATGCTCCTAATTAGAACTTCTCTGCCATGTGTTGACCTCAGATTCCAATTATGTACATAGTGAATTCCTAGTTCTAAAGATTTCCTGTTTTCGCTATAGAAAAATAGCTATCGGTTGTAAAGAATTGTCTTAAATAGTCTGTCTAATTTAATATGTTTTATTTTTTTCAGTGATGATCTCTTTTCTCTGCCTTACTGTCCAGGGAAGACCCTGGTGGTCGGAGCTTCCTACGTTGCCCTTGAATGTGCTGGGTTTCTTGCAGGTCTTGGTTTGGATGTAACTGTAATGGTACGATCCATCCTTTTAAGAGGATTTGATCAGGAAATGGCAAACAAAATTGGGGAACATATGGAAGAACATGGAGTCAAGTTTATTAAAGAGTTTGTGCCAACTAAGGTAAGCCTTTTCATTGGAACATTTGAAAGTGGTATATAAACATAAATGAAAGCAATCTTCAGATTATAGTATTTTAAGAAAAATGAATTATCTATCTTAATGACAACAAAAAGTTTAATCCATATTATTGGATATGCTAAAACATAAGTAAGGTTAATTTTTATTACCTTGTAACTGACTGTAATTTTCAATTAGATAAAGTTTATAAAAATCAATCTAGTTTTATTATTTAAATTGCCTGAGGTTTTAAAATTCTTTATAAGAATTACATTCTTTAGCCTCCTGTGCTAAACATATTGTTGGAAATGAAGGTCCTGATTCTGCAAACATTTAATGCACATGCTTAACTTTGAGTATGTGAATAGTGCCAGTGAAGTTAGCAGCACTATTCACATACTCAGAGTTAAGCATATGCATAAGTTTTTGCAGAACTGGGGCCAATGCATTGAAAGCATTCACATTACATGAGGCTAAACTGAATGGCAGTTTCAGTTTGTAACATTCTGAGCCTCCAAATGCTTACTGCAGTACCTAATGTTTACTACCCAGTAGAGTCAAGGGAGCTATCCTTGGATATTAACTACTAAGTATGGTAGTAAGTATTTGCAGCATAATGCCTTAAATTTGCAAGGTGACAAGAAAATTCTTTTCACTGTGCAATAAAAAGAAGAAGAATGTTTATCTGATTATTTTATTGAAAATAGTGTAAAAAATCAAATACTAACCACCTTGCAGTTTAGTCCCCAATCGTGCAAATAATTACACGTGTCTATCTTTACTCATATGTAGTGTTTGCAGGATGGGGATCCCCAGATATGGACTCCTGCACTTGTGGCTTTAATGGAACTATGTGTGGGCATTGGGATCCACACCATAAGATCCCAATGCAGGACTGGGGCCTAACTGTAAAAATATACAATTGTATCTTTACAGTATAAGATAATGGTTAAAATAAGGCAACAAAAAGGTCCTGATTTGGCAAAGCACGTAAGCACATGCTTAACTTTAACTTTATGCATGAGTAAGCCAGGTAAAGTTAAGCATATTCTTAGATGAATTAAGGCCATAAAAAGGACCTATTATACTACATATAGAGCTTTTTTGTCCTTTATGTAAAGTTACTATCAAAGACCAGGGCGGGTGCCAACAGAACTTTGCTTAATGATTAGGGTTTAATTATTATAAAACGGGAAAGGAATTACGAAACAACTTCCATTAGGCGCTAAGCCAATACATTATAATGTTTTAGGTGTTCAAGGATTAAAAATTAAATAAAATGCATTCCATTCTTTTCACTCTTAGCTCACCAGGGGGTAGGCTTAAAAAACAAGTGTGTGTGTGGGGGGGGTGGAGGAGGGGGGATTGCCAATTTCTATTGTATGAACTCACCCTGTTCTCATAAAGGATAAGAGATTTATCCCGAAAGGTTAGAGTGGAGTTTGCAAGGAATTTTCTGTTCTTATTCATGCATAAACTGTAGCAATCTCTAGGCATATGAAAAAAAGAGAGCCAAATGTTTAGCTTCTAATTGCTCCATATTTAGTGCAGCAGTTTTTATTGGACCCGATCCTACAAGATGCTGAGCCTTCCTGCAAAGTGCTGAGTACTCTCCACTCCCATTGAAGTCACAAGTGCTCAGCACACTGCAGGATTGAGCCCATTCTGCATTACTTGCAGAATATATTTTTGACTGTTGCATACTGTGTCTCTGCTACCTTGCCATTGACTTCAGTGGGAGCCGGATTCAGCCCTGTATCCATTCAGGAATATCCTTTGACATTAAAGTCTCAGATGGCTGGGCAGATTTTCAGCAGCCATCTTCCTTGTTTTTCTTTTTGGTACTGTGTTTGAAGTTATGTACATTCCATTTTAGTATCAAGCCTTGTGTTGACTGTTGTGAGACAGCGGATGCATCAACCTAAATCAGTGGTTTTCAAACTGTGCGTCGTGACCCAGTACTGGGTTGCAGAATGTAAGGCACTGGGTCCCGGCGGCTCTGGTGAGCACCGCCGACCGGGCTGTTAGAAGTCCCGTCAGTGGTGCTGCCCAGCTAAGGCAGGCTAGTCCCTACCTGTTCCGACACCACACTGCGCCCCAGAAGTGGCCAGCAACAGGTCTGGCTCCTAGGTGGGGGGGGCCACGGGGCTGCGCATGCTGCCCCGCCCTGAGAACCAGCTCCGCACTCTCATTGGCTGGTTCCCGGCCAATGGGAGCTGGGGGTGGCAGTGCCTGCAGGCGAGAGCCATGCAGAGCCGCTTGCGTGCCTCCGCCTAGGAGCCGGACCTACTGTTGGCCGCTTCCGGGGCGCATCATGATCCGTGGTGCCAGGACAGGCAGGAAGCCTGCCTTAGCACCCCCGCTGCACCATGGACCAGGAGCTGCCCAAGGTAAGCCCGCGTCCCTGCCCCAGCCCTGACCCCCCCAACCCAGAGCCCCCTCCTGCACCCCAAACCCCTCATCCCCAGCCCCACCCCAGACCCTTCACCCCCAGTCCAGAGCCCTGACCCCCTCCCACACCCCAACCCCCTGCCCCAGCCCAGAGCCCCCTCCAACACACTGAACCTCACCCTGCAGCCTTCACCCCCGCACTCCAACCCTTTGTCCCAGCCCTAAGCCCCTCCCACAGCCCAAACCCCTCATCTCCAGCTGTGGGGTTTGGGTCGCGGGCATCAACAATTTTCTTCAACTGGGTCACCAGAAAAAAAGTTTGAAAACCATTGCCCTAAATAATACTGTGCTGATTCAATGCAACCTGTAAAATGGGTCCAGTGGCACAAAGATTTTAAGAAATTGTTAGGAAAAAATTGCCTTTTCTGTGCCTAAATACTGTAATGTAAAATAATCACGAGAACAGTTGTTACAGTTTATTATTTTGGGTTGCTAGGTAATTATGCAGTAAAACTGTCCCTGAAAATTTCATACCATGGTAAAGGGCTAGATTGTGTTTTATAAACCGCCCCAGGTCAGAGGCAGCATGGAGCCTCACGGCCTCTGGGGAAGCACAGAAAGGGATTGTACTTTAGGAGGCACAGTCTTCCACATGGCTCAGAGTGAAAAGGAGGTGTGGCACTACAGAGAACCACTGCATGGATTTGCAACCTAAATAGATTCAGAGTCTGTTCTTTAATTTTGTTTGATTAAATGTTAGTTTCCCTTTGGTGAGAGTAGGTCCTGTGTATTCATCAAAGGAAAGAAAGTGCCATGGAAAAGATTGTGATATATTTTGCTTTTGAAGTGTCCATAGGATCATTCTCAGCATGGAGACCTAGCTGCAATTAGATACACAATTTCTGTCTTTCACTCTGTTATGCTAGGGTGAAAACAGCTGCAGCCGTAGCATTTTACTCCTGCATATCTCCCGTTTGGAAAGTAAAGCTTAATTTTCAACTATTGTAGGTCGAACGGATTGAGGAAGGAACTCCTGGCAAATTGAAAGTCATAGCCCAGTCCACAGACGGCAGGGAAATAATTGAAGGGGAATACAACACTGTAAGTAATTCAGAATGGTGCCTTCACATTGATAAAGAAGAGCATGGAAAAACCTTTCAGTGAACATTAAGATTTAGTGCTGCTGGAGAGATCTTTTGGAGATTGAAGTGGTTTTTATTATTCAGGCCTTGTCTACACTACTGTGGTAAGTTGACTTATTCATGTAGCTGGAGTTGACATAGCTTAAGTCAACTTGCCGCGGTGTCTATACTCTTCCATTGACTTACCTTATTCTTCTCATTCTGGTGGAGTACCTGAGTCGACCGGAGAGCGCTCTGCGGTCGATTTTAGCGGGTCTTCACTAGACACGCTAAATGGATTCCTGTTGCATTGATTGCAGCAGCACTGATCCCCGGTAACTATAGACGTGGCCTCAATGTCAAGATGTGTTTCCTGTATATCTGCAACAGATGGTGAGTAAAATTTGCAAAAGCACTTAAATGGCATAAGAGCATGAGTCCCACTGACTTTCAAGGGAACTTGGGCTGCTTGAGCCACTTAGGTGCTTTGAAAACTTTACTCATTAGGTTTTAGGGAGTACAGGGGTCTGCACGTGTGGAGCCACTTGCAGGATTTGGCCCTAAGGAGTTTCACACGATAAATTATTGGTAAAGGAGGATACATAATGGCTTCTACTACAGCTGCAGCATGCTACTGCAATATTAGCATACAACAGATGGACTCTGTAAAAAACAGACACAAATAAACCTGGTCCCTTCTCAAGACCAACTGGTGAAACAACACTTACATGAAATCACCCAATGTCTAATGCAGTGGTCCCCAAACTTTTTACCTCATGCCTTCCGCTTGCTCCTGTCCATGTTTCCACCCTCCCCCCCGGGACTGGGAGCGGGGCCACGA